TGCTGCTGCTGCTGCTGCTGCTGTTGCGGATGAGGAAGCAGCAGCAGCAGCAGCAGCAGCAGCAGCAGAAGGGAGGCAAGATCGCCATCTCCCGATGCGGTGTACAGTGGTAGTAGGAGATAAAGAAGATATTTCTTTTGAAGATACTTCTGAAAGTAATATAACAGACAGAAGCAGCACAAGCGATGCTTCGTGCAGACAGCAGCAAAACCCTGGTCGTCATCATCTGCAGCAGCAGCAGCTGCAGCAGCAGCAGCAGCAATTGCTGCAGCAGCAAATGCTGCAGCAGCAGCAGGAAGAGCGAATACGCAACTACCCGAGATACGGTCGCAGCGAGCAGCAAATGCAGCAGCAGCAGATGCAGCAGCAGCCGCCGCCGCAGCAGCAGTACATGCAGCAGCAGTACATGCAGCAGCAGCAGCAGCAGCAGCAGCTGCCGTTCCCTCCTCCTCTAACAGCAACAGAGATGCAGCAGAGACTAGAAGAAGAGTGGTCAGAGAGAGAGAGACAGTTGAAAGAGCAGCACAAGAGACATCTGCAGGCAGTCGTTACTCATGAGATAGAGAAAGTAAGATATATATATATAAACATATATATATATTATATATATTATATATATTATATAAACATATATAGAGATGTATAAACGTATATAGAGATGTATAAACATATATATGTATTTATATCTTATATATATATATATCATATATATATATATATATATATGTGTGTATGTATGTTGTCTATGAATGTATCCTTGCATTTATTTCTGTGCTTCGTCTTTATTTTGTTTGTTTGTTTGTTTTTGTTTGTTTTTGTTTGTTTGTTTGTCTTATGATTGTCTCTTTAATCAGTAATAAAACAACAGCAACAACGCTGTGCTACCTTCCTCCCCTTCAGGGTTTAGGGTTTAGGGTTTAGGGTTTAGGGTTTAGGGTTTAGGGCTTAGGGTTTAGGGTGTGTGCAGATAACTCAAGAGTACGGCAGACGACTCATACATGAGATGCAGCAGCAGGAGCAGCAGCTGCAGCAGCAGCAGCAAAGCCAGCAGCGCGAGGCGTATGAACAGATGCGCGAGTTGCAGCAGACTAACTTCTTTTATAAACAAAACATCAAAGAGCTTCAGCAGCAGCTTGAAGCAGCTGAAAACAAACAAAGAAAAACAGAAGAAGAAATGCATCTCCTACAGCGACAAGCCGATGTAAGAGCCCTAAACCACACTCTTCTCATCATAGCTAGCTAGCTAGATAGCTAGCTAGCTATATATATTATATATATATGTATTGCTGTATATGTACAGATATATATGCATATATATGTTCTCTATGTCTGCTTGCTTATTTATTATTTATATATATAGATAGCTAGCTAGCTATCTAGCTAGCTAGCTGATTGTATGTTGTTATTGCGTTATATATCTAGCTGTATATACTTATATCTTTTCTTTTTGTTTGCTTATATATTTATAAATATATTTGTTTGTTTATTTATTTGTTTGTTTGTTTTGTTAAACAGAACAGCAGCCAGAGAGAGCAGCAGCTGCTACGCGAAAATGCTGTACTTACGTCTCAGCTGTCTGCATGCACAGAGGAGAAGCAGCAAAAGATAAAGAGAGAAGAAGAGTTGCTGCTGCAGCTAGAGATCAGCAGCAGCAGCAGCACCAGACTGCAGCAGCAGCTGCAGCACGAGCAGCAACTTGCTGCTGTCTATAGACAGAGGCTGCAGGAGCAGCAGCAGCAAACGCAGCAGCTGCAGCGCAGCAACGATCAGCTGCAGCAGACAGTTAGAGTAGAGACAGCAGCAAAAGAAAGAAGCAACACTCAACTACTTGCGTTAGTAAACCAGCAAGATATTATTTATGCTGAAAATGAAGCTTTAAAAAGAAAGACAGAAACGCTGCAGCAGCAGCTGCAACTGCAGCAGCAAAAGCAACAAGATACGTACGCAGACACCCTAAACCCTAAACCCTAAACCCTAAATTACTACTTCTTTACAACCTAATTATCACAATTCACAAGAAAAGAAAAGAAGATGTACAGCAGCAGCATGCTGCTGAAGCAGTTGCTCTTGTTGCTGCTGCTGCTGCCCTTGCTTCTGTTTCTGCTGCTGCATCTGCTGCTGTAATAATTGTTATTGGGGCTCTTTGTGCTAGAAGTGTTGCTGCTGCAGCTGCTAGCTGCTGCTGCTGCTACTGCTGCTGCAGCTGCTGCTACTGCTGCTGCTACTGCTGCTCCTGTTGCTGCAGCAGCAAATGTTTTTGCGTTGTGCTGTTTGTTTCAGGGTAGCTAAAGACAATAAAATAGATTGCCTGCAGCAGCAAATCGATAAACAACAAAAACAAAATACAGACATCACCAACTCTCTCCGCATGGTCTGCAAACCCTAAACCCTAAACCCTAAAATTAATATATAAATAAACCCTAAACCCTTTACCTCTTGACTAAAGCGATGCAAACCCTTGCGATTAAAATTCCTTTCAAACTTTGCTTAGCAGCACCAAACCCTGATACTTTAAAAACCCTAAACCCTAAACCCTAAACCCTAACGAGACAATGCTGTGCACTTTGTTTGTTTGTGCAATTGCAGCGGGTGCAGCACTTAGAGAGGATAGAAGAAATGTATTGTCTTCTTAAGACAGAAACAGAGTCGATGAAGTAGGTGCTGTCTTTTTAATTTGATTGCTTTGTTTGTTTATTTGTTTATTTTGTTTATTTGTTTATCTTGTTTGTTCTGTTTACCTTATCTAACTATTTATCTTGTTGTTTTCATTTATTTTGTTTTTTAGATGCTTGACTCCTTTTCTTTGTTTGTCTTCGTTGGTTGTATCTCCCGTTGCGGTTAGGGTTTAGGGTTTAGGGTTTAGGGTTTAGCGCTTAGGGTTTAGGGTTTAGGGTCCCATAAACCCTAAACCCTTTTGTGTTGGTTCCCGGGTTAACCCTTGAATTAGCAAATTTGCTGTCTGTCACCTCAATTCTGCATTCTGCAATTAGGGTTTAGGGTTTAGGGTTTAGGGTTTAGGGTTTAGGGTTTAGGGTTTAGGGTTTTTGTGTTTGTTTCAGACTGGAGTTGCTGCGGCTAAAAGACGAAAACGCTGCTCTGCATGCAGCAGCAAAACAAAAAGAGTAAACAAAACAACAAAACAAATCTTCTACTTTTATTTATTTATTTATTTATTTATATATTCATATATTTATTTATTTATTTATTTGTTTATTTATTTGTTAACTTTATTTATATATTTATTTATTTATTAGGGGCGTCTTCTTCTTCGTTTATCTATGCTTTGTTCATTGTTATGAGTAAATATATTTATATATTTATTTATTTATTTATTTAATTTATTTATTTATATATTTTATTTATTTTATTTATATTTTTAGCGGCTTA